TTTATTATATCTTTTAAATCTATTAAATAATAAATAAAAAGCACTTTAAATAATGATTTAATTATGTAATTAATCAAAAATAGAATTATTTTTATAAAATATATAGTTCTTTTTAACTAGGCTAGCTCTAATATCATTTTGCTTATTAATTTGCCAAAAAATAGTCAAGAACCTGCTAAGAAAACCTGGCCTAACCCGGCCTAACCCTTAACAAGTTAAGCCCTCTATTTTTTAGGTCTAACCGAACAGCGCTAAGGTTTCGCAAGAGTTTCGCAATGCCCGATACTTATCTCGATTATGCTCGTGTACTGTTCTTCCTGGGCAGCCGCGAAATTGACTGGACAAGCGGTGCTCTTCTCTTGGTTTATTGTTGGCCAGTATGCATGTACATGGCACTGCATGAACGGTCTGTGCTGGGTTCCTTTTGATGATGCTGACATTCACCAAGAGATGGTTCTATGGAGCCCCACAGAGAGCAGGCCCATCTATGAGATCAGACTTTCTTCACCATCGTCACGCTATTCAGCTTTTCGAGGATTTGAAACATCATGGCACATCTCAGGCGTGCCCAAGTTCGCGAACCGCATTTATAATGCGGCTACTTGTCTCGGCCGCCATTCACTGCATCATCACGGACTTCTTCATGAATCAAGACGCGACCCCTGCAATGACAGCTAGCTAGACTGAGGGCATAGAGTGACTGTGGATCTGTAGCCTCAATCCACGTCCAATCACTCCGAGTGATGTATCGCGCAGTGGGCGCTACGATAGCGTGATCCATTGCACGCCGAGTGATGAACCACGTTGGACAGCGAATCATCTTTGTCATCGTTCTCGGGCTTGTCACTACGGGACCCGGGCAAGGAACCGAGCAAGTACCCGAGCAATGGCCTCCTGATGTTTTTCAATGATAGGTCGAAACCACTGTTTTTGTATATACCACTCGAAGGCTAAAGCAGGGTCCGAGACTATGCGGTCCGAGCACTCGGTGCGTGTAGCTATCATTATCCGTAGGTGCTGTGGTCCATATGCAGTCTCGACTTCATTTGGCGATAGGGCGTGGACAAACTTTGACTCTTCGGGCAAATGAGGCTGGTTATGCGGCACCAAATCCTTTGATCAGCGATAGGTCCTAGGCAAAGCTCGTTGGCCGGTGCTCGATTGTCCTTGAGATCTTGAACGCAGCTCATGTACGCTCGCCGGGCGTTCTACCGCGTCGTCTAGTTTATTTTGGTACTCAGTGACCATGGCTTGCCGTCCAGCAGTCCCCTCCCTTTCCCTGGGTCTACCGTCGATTCATCCCCTTCCCCGCAGGCTTGACCAAGCAGCGCGGTACGGACTCGACATCGAGCTTTTTCACGATGACGTACTCGAGACTGCGAAGGACATTACCGGCGTGCATACCGCCGCAGACAGCCAGATCAAAGCCGCTGCGATCATCCGTTTGCTCTGCGACGAACGAAGAATCAGCGTCGTTTGCCTGCAGCCTTTCCGGCACTATGAAGGCTTGAGGGACCGACACAGACATGCGGAGCGGATCGAGGAAATGAAGCTGTGGATTCACCTTGCCGAAATCTTAGGCACGGATCTGATTGGCATACCTTCTTCATTCTTACCTACGACCGAAGCAAGCGGCGACCTTGACCTGATCACTCAGGATCTGTGCGAAATTGCGGACCTGGGCGCTCCTCGAGGCATCAGATTTACATACGAGGCTTTAGCATGGGGAACGTACATTGATACATGGGATAAGTGCTGGGATGTCGTAAAGAGAGTCGATCGGCCCAATTTTGGAATTTGCTTGGACACTTTCAACCTAGCCGGACGCGTGTATGCCGATCCAGCAGCAGCGTCGGGCAGGACCGTCGACGCACGAACTTCAATCGTGTCGTCCCTGGCTCGTTTGAAGCACACAATAGACATCAAGAAGCTTTTCTGGGTGCAAGTGGTGGACGCGGAGCGTCTTGATCAACCTTTGGACAGCAAGCACCGGTACCATGTCGCTGGTCAGCCTGCTCGCATGAGCTGGTCTCGGAACTGCAGGCTATTCTACGGTGAGGAGGATCGGGGCGCCTTTCTTCCGATAAAGGCAATTCTTGAAATTATTCTGTTGGATCTTGGCTTCAAGGGCTGTCTAAGCGCAGAATTGTTCAACAAAAGTCTTGCCAATCCGGATCCATCGACTCCAGAAGAGCATGCCCGTAGAGCGATCAAGTCATTTCGAAGGCTAGCGAGTGATTTTGGCTTTGAGATGTAGTTTTACTTGTTTGGCTTTTGCTCTGTGGCGTTTTCTGAATTGATCTTGTCCCAAATAATCAACTCAGAGGAACATCTTGTGGCATTTTGTAGTATCATTTGTCAGAATCCCTGCGCATACGATACGTATCTGTTACGTATTAGCAAAACTTCCAAACACTGGCCGGTCTGAACATCTTCGACTTGAGCTGGGATGTGGACAGGCAAAAGCGTCAAGCTTTTAGCGCTGCTATCGATGCCGCGGTTGCGCTTCCGAAGCTGAAGCAAAACGTCGAGGCGTTAGAGGCAGAAGTGCAAGCCAAGGCAAAGGACATGATGACGAAAGTCTCTGGCCTTGTGTCATTGACAGTTTTGTTGTTAAATAGATCGCTCAAATCTTTGAAATGATGCTTCAAAATGTGCCCTCTTTCTGCGTATCTGCGTGCTAATTCTGTGCCCTCTTTCTGCGCATTCTATGTGCGCATTCTGATTTTGATGGGGTACAGCTTGGCAAAAGCTCAGCAGCCTTGGCGCCTTAAAGCACTGCTTATTTGCCAACTAAACTCAAGAAGGCAGGAATGCCCGACTTTAGACCAATTAGAACAGTGATTGCCGCGGCCCGCATTTTTAAGCTTACTGCACTTTGCAGCCAATTGATCGAGCTTGGCGGTAAGTTCACATTAGATAGAAGATCAGTCACTATACTTTTTATATAAATCAAATACTAGCTCAGTCTAGGCTCCCAAGGCAGGATACTATAATTTTAAGCCTATCTTCTTAATTTAATTATGCACAAGATCATGGTGGATCTAAAACAAACCTTATGTCTTTTAAACATCCAGAGACCTCAAGATCCGAAGCTTCAGTCTAAATCAGGCATAATGTGGACTCTCTTCCCAATGCTCCATCAATACCATCCTGTATCCTATCGTCAACGATTGTTCATGATCTTCAAGGAGTATGTAACTTCGACAGCTTCTCTTGAAAAAACGCCTTGCGATCCTCTAGTAGGTTCGCATCGATTCTATTACCAACTTGTTGTGCAAACCCAGAAGCCTTTTCAGTTTGCCACATTGCTTGTAGCTCCTGGCACAAATCGACAAAAGATATCCGCGTGTCACGCGAGGAGATTGCGTCCATGGCATGCAATATCATCCGTCGAACAGCGGAAATACGCTCGGTTCCTTCGAAGCATGTCGTATCATACTCGAGCCGAAGCAGCAAGGTGTCGTCATCGACTGCCATACACTCGACCATGAGCTTGAATTTGGCACCCTCACTCCACACAAACTGCGGTTCTACGCCATCACCAAGGGCAAACATGCTCCAAGGACCGCCTTCTCTTTCATCTGCTGTTGAGGCCATAGCACCACGGCGAGCGTCATGGAAGGACACAACGCAATCAAATAATGGATGACCAGGGAGCTGCTCCTGGGGATCGATTTCCAGATGATCGAGCAACTGGTGCCAGGGGATTGCATGTGACAGGGAACGCTGGCACGAGGCTTGGACGGCAGCAAGATAGGAGCCAATTGATGTAGGTGTCCGTTGTAGAGCGACATCCGAGTAGCCATCGACGATGTCTTTCGCGGAAGATAAAGGGGACTCATCCGTGAATGCCACACGCACCGGAAGTGGCTCTAAGAAGAGGCCGACTGCGTGCATATCCGCCTCTGACTGACGATTGATAAATGGCATGCCCAGCGTAATGTCAAAATCGGAGTCATCAGCGCTGACGGCAGCTGCAACCGCGGCCAGGATGAGCTGCTGTAATGTGACACCGGACTGCGCCGCTTGATCCAGGATGCGACGCCAAAGCGAGGCAGACACACGAGCCACAGACGATTTGCCTCGATAGCTCGTCCGTTCGGCACCATTACCAAGGTAGGCAGGTCGAGCTTGTTTCACGTCTCGTAAATACTCAGACCAGAAGCTGAGATAGCAAGGCGGTGATACAGCATCTGCGATCACCCTCTGGTAGTAGGGCTGCACGGAAGGAGGAAGGGGCTCGTTGTGGTAGACAGTGGCCGCTTCATTCAGGACAATTCCTAGTGCCGTATAGTCGCAGATGATATGGCTTCAGATGGCGACGATGGTGTTCTAAGTGATGATAACGCGAACAGGAGGTGCGACCTCGAGATTGAAAGGTCTGTTCAGCTCGAGCCAGACGTTAATGGATCGCATCTTCTCCACACGAGGAGGATATGGCGCCAATATACGCTGCAAGCCCTGTCTGCGATGCTGCACATACCGGCCGCGGAAGACGTCGTGGCGCGCCAGAACCACATTCCATGCATCGATTAACTTTTTCCGGCTGACAGTGTTGGGATCGTACTGGCCGACGTAGCTGACATTGAATGCAGATGAACTGCGGTCCAATTGATACTTCTGCCACCACTCTTTCTCCATTGGTGATGGCTCATACTGGCCGCGACCCTGCTTTTGACATTCAGAAGAATTTGGCCCTTTCTTCATCTTGTCGATTGTACCAGCCAAATCTCTTAGGGTAGGGAGCTCTGCGATCATTCGCACGGTGATATGCTCGCCAAAGACTGCCGTGTGTCTGGCCGCCAGTCGTAATTGCTGCAAAGAGTGGCCCCCTAGCTGAGTGAAGTTCGCGCGAGGGCCAATAGCGGCATCACAAGGGCCGCACTTCAGCACTTGACTCCAAGCAGCTGCGACGATAGCTTCAGTCTCGGTCTCCAAATTCTCCTCATTTTGGTGCGAGTCGGCAGCGCCATCAGCGATTGCCCTGTAGTTCACTTTGCCAGTCGAAGTCATGGGAAGTTTGGCGGCGGCGGAAATATACCTAGGGACTGCGAAGGCAGGAAGCACTTTGCGAATGGTCGCTCGCATTCCGGCAACGTCGGAAGAGGCAGTCTGTATCATACAAACCAGGTCATCGCCTCTGCGTGTGATGGCCACTGCCCGAGCTCCATCGCATGCCCGGAGGACACGCGCCTCCAGATCCTCGAGGTCCACGCGAAAACCTTGAAGCTTGATTTGGCGATCAGCCCGTCCAAGAAAGACTATCTCTCCGGCTTTATTCCAGTGTCTGGAAGGAAGCGTTCGGCATTGAGGTCGGGTTGCCCTATGTAGCCCTGGGCCACGTGTACCCCAGCTAGATATATCTTACCAATCCTTCCAATTGGAGCCAGCCGCTGACGATGATCCAGAATATATATTCTGGTCGATGGATTTGGCCCTCCTATTGTGACAGGTTGATTCGGACGCAGCCGTTTGATGGTAGCGCCGCAGGTCGCCTCTGTGGGCCAGTACATGTTGTAGACCACCTTACGGGCAGCCCATGTGTTGCAAACCGCTTGGGGAACCGCCTCACCTACCATGTAGACCGTCTTTAATCTTGGAAAGTCGTCTGGGTCCAAGACAGAGGCAATGGAAGGAGTAAGAATCGCCGAGTCCACGGTTTTTAAGTGTCCGAATGCCTCTCCCTCCTGTCGCAGAACAAGGGTTGCGCCGTAAGAAATAGCAGAGAACAGTTCGTGAATACTTCCATCAAAGGCCACTGACATGACTTGCGCAACGCGTGTCCCGATCGTCGCAAGCAAGCGGACCTCGAAATCCCGTTGAAAGGCAACGAGTCCTTGATGCGTGCACATGACACCCTTGGGTTTGCCAGTGGATCCCGATGTGAAGCAAAGATAAGCCCTTTCCCATGGCCTAGGCTCAGCTCTTAAGCCGAAACATGTCGTTGAGTCTGATCCAGATTTGTCTACCATCGACTCAATGTCAAGCGCTGAGAGAGCAGTCTTGGGCTTAACGGACAAGGCGTCACTGGTGGTGGCGAGGAAGAATCGGGCGGTGGAACTCTCAAAAAGGGAGTCTCTGTAGTGCTGAGGGTGCGCTTTATCCAACGGACAGTAAGTTCCTCCGGCACGAAGGATGGTGTAAATTGAGATCACCCAATTATTGAGCCATCTGCATGCACTGCGACAACCCCTTCCGGAGTTATCAAGCCTGCGAGGGTGCGAGCGATGCGGCCGGAAAGTCTTTCCAGTTCAGCATAGGTAGTCTTTCGATTCACGCGCTCAATTGCAACAGCAGAAGGGTACTTTGTAGCCGCGCGCTCAAACAGAGTGACTAGATCATCTGTGATAGAAGACCCCGTCGACGCAGAAGAGTTGCAGTTTCCCATTGAGCGGAAAGTCGCGATGGAAGTGGTAGATAAAAGCCCTGAAGCACAAGACTCGAGAGTGTTTTCCGTTTGGCATAGGGAGATTAACAACTCTTCGAGGACTCTCGAAGCAGTTTCCATGTGGCTGCGACTGTAACGTTGGCTGCAGTATTGTAAGATCACGCTGCCATCATCAGTAACGACAGCGCTTAGAGGCAGATTAGTGGTCTGCCTCGAGAACGATCGACCAATCTGCCCCACAGACCCCTCTTCCCATCGTTGTGCATCAGGTTGCATGGCCAGCAGAGGTCCCCTTACACGCGAAAAGCCATTATCAGGCGTCGTCCAGGAGTATCTTTGAAGATGTTGCATGCGATTGAATACATCTCCGACAAAATCGCGTACTGAAATGCTCCAGGATATATCAACCTGAAGTGGTAGTGTATTCACCATGGGTCCAATCGCATCTAACACGCCGGGCAAGGGGTGATTGCGACCGGATACGACCGTGCCAGTAACAGCATTGTCGGAATCTGTGTACAGCCCAAGCCACATTGCCCATGCTGCATGGAAAAACGTGGTTGGAGTGACGTCACAGGATCGCGCCGCGGCCTTTATAGAATTGTGGTGATGGCCCAAAGTGATGCGAATCTCCTCCTTACAAGACCCAGCGCTGTTTGTCGATGCAGCTGGAATGAGAGGCTCGTCTCGCGCTGCAGCGAGCTTGTCTTGCTGCTCAGTCCAAAAATCGTCGCCTTCCGCTTTGCGAGATGACCTCAGCTGATCTAGCGCTACGCAGAGGTCGGAATAGGGCGGCCCAGGTTGAACAGCTTGGCCTGACGCAGCCAGGTGGACCTTCTGCAGGAGAAGCGAGGCAGACCAGCCGTCGATGAGAGCATGGTGAACGGACCAGACAAGTGTGCTTCGGCTGTCAGCAGGCGCTACACCCTGATAATGCACTATGGTGAATCGCACAGCAAGATCAATTACTGCACTAACGTTCGGCCAAGGACGAACTCCCATCTGGCCAGCCGACAACGCATCTTGGTAAGCTTGCGTTTTCGTGGTTGTGAACTGGCGCCAATGAAACTTGGGAAGCATCAAGCAGCCATCTTCTGGACTGCGATATATAGTGCGAAAGATCGGTTCCATATGGAGAATTTGCTTCCAAGCATTCTTCATGCGTGACACCTGATCTGGGCGATATGTCTCGTAGTAGTAGATGATGTTTGCTCCAGGCGCTTCCATGCTGCCGTGCACGAGGGAGATTTGGCTTTCCGACAACTCGGTGATTTCCCTGGTCACAACGCTGGGATCGCATAGCTCCTCCGTCTCGATGGAGACTAGACGTAGATCATCGACCGGTGTAGATGGCTCAGCAAGGCCAATCCTTGAGACACATCAAGCAATGTGTTCGTGGTAGGCATATGGCTTTCGAAATTGGTAATTGATGAGTCCGGAGACACCGATCTTGTCGAAACGACTTCGGATGAGGATCGTCGAAAATCATACTCAGTGACAGAACATCGGCTGGTGTTGTTGCCATGATCATTTTCTTCGCCACCATCATCAATAGATGGCATAGAAAGTCGAGTGGGTGGTGCTGTTATTGCTTCCGAATTGAGTTGTCGGCATTGCTGCAAGAGGTGCCCAATGGAGGGACTTAAAAGAATGGTATCGACAGCGACAAGCACACCACGACTCTTACATTCTGCTACGAATCGAAGCGCAGTCATGGAATCACTGCCATAGCTCGTGAAGCTGGCACTCTCGACCACAGACCAGCGCAGAACATCCAGCACAGCGGCCAAAACTTGCAAGGCCAACGACGCAGCCATGACCAGAGAAACAGGCAGACGGCTTAATAGAAAATGTGACTAGATCGACATTTCAGCAGTCTCGATCATGTAAGAGCAATATCGAAAATACAGTCGCAAACAATCGGCCTTCGAGTGTGGCTAAAGGGAGGGTCAACAAATCGTTGTCGGGTTTCCACCCTACGCTCACATAAAATCTGGCGACAGTTTGTTGATCCGCGCCTTGGGCATCGGTGACCGCCACGGAGAGCTACATAAAGCCGACGAATGGCAGGAGCTAAGTACATGGCGGATCTTCTGGCCTTTGTGTTATTGCAGAGAGGCGTGGAGGCGTAGAGGCTTACCCTGGGGGTGGACCCAAAAAGCTTCGCACCCGTATTGCTGATTTGTGCAGATCGAGCTCTCTTCAGAAACGTATGCAGGCTCAAAGAAGGGCTCTGCATGAGGTTTACTCGACCACTCTCTGTAGCAGCATTGGCTGAAGATCGAGACATGATTGATCTGTACTGTAGTATGGCCATGATACACCCTGCCAAGCTTTTGTAAACCATTGTAGTAGTAATCCATCACCTAAACTGTATTCTACATTAGATGACCATTCGTATACTTGATGGCTCAATCCATAGAGAGGCCCGGTTGACAGAAAATGCCACAAGATGCCGTGGACTGATTGTCATTTTGAGTTTGAACAGAGCCAATGAGGAAGGTCTGACTTCTGCACTGGGACGAGTTGCTGGAATGTGCGAGATCGAGTTCAAAGCGTTCTGGATGCCATGAGCCAGAATGCTCACAGTCTCCTTGATAGAGCCTCTTCGATCGATAGGATGAACATTCTATCCCAATAAGGTGGATGACTGACATGTATAGGGGGGCAAAATGATTCCTCTCACATCTTGCGCAGCCAGTACGCACTCGAAGGGCTACACCCAATATGTCACGTGCGTTTCGTTAGCTTGCTCGCTTGGCAGCACTTAGATTAGCTCTTGCTGCTGCTCGGCAGTTTTCTTCCTCTCCCAACTATGCTAGATTCAATCAATTGCTCATATCCATTGCACAATAGGCAGCAGTTGCGGTGTCTTGCACCTGAGCAAAACTGGAATGTAAGCCGATGTCAGGCATTATCATGCATGTAGTTCAGCCAATATACGCTTCAGTCAATATACGCTTCAGTCCATATACGCTTCAGTCCATATACGGAACCTTGAAGCATATCATGGTGACCCTACCGTTACCCTTAAGAGCATGAAGAACTTCGTCCGCCACATTTCGAAAATTTAGCTGAAGCAAGTTGCTACATGTGTCAGATAACTGCTCGCTGGTTGCCGGACAATAAAACTCAGAATGAAGAACATCAGAAGGCTAGGGAAGCTTTTGAGACGCACAAGGTATAGTGCTGCGCATCAAACTTGGTACGTGACAAAACAATGATGCTTGATAACGGAGTCCGCATACCCAGCCCTCGTGGCCCAGCTGCTTGTGTGAGATGTTGTCGAAAAGGACATCTTTACCATCCTAGGACTTAACGTCTCAGATCATCCCGACTTCGAAGCTGATGATTATTACCAGAGCGCTAACGACAGCGGACACAATTTGGATTGACAGCCACCATCAGTCGCTCGCATAGTGCACCATGGCATCAAGGATGATGTAATTGCTTATGAAACTCCCTTTGGTGCTCGTCAAGAGGGCGGCAGACAGCAAGGCTAGAGATCGCGGTGCAGGTCAGAAGGAAAGCAGACGACCATGCCACGCTTCACAAAAGTATAAGACAGTCACGCAGGACGCAATGAGCTGATGCAAACATTGAGGGCTGCCGAACATAGCGAACGAGGTGTGCATCACTCGTTCCCACCTTTATTCAGTGCCATCTCTATATAGGCGGTATATACGAATCTCATTTGCGCTTGGGTCGCGAAAATGTTTTGTATTGGAGCTTGCTCGCATACCTGACACATGTCACTCATCGCCATAGTCACTAAGCTACAGCTGCCACCCCGTTCGTGCCTTCTTTCTCCTGCTTGGCCAATTCCTGCAGCCTCCCGTTCATCTTCCATGTTCGGATCAGCCGGACGCTGTCTTCCAAGATCTGCTTGGCGAGAGACCTGTAGCCATTAATGATATCGCGCTCTGCCTGGCTTCCGGGCTCGGGGGAGTCGGTCCCCATGACCAGCTCGTAGTAGAGCGACAGATAGGGATCGAGCTCCTCTTCTTCTTGAGATGCTGCATCGCAGCCATACCCCACCATCATCGTGGTTTTGGCCCCGCTCTCACGCGTGGTCGCTAGCAACTGCGGACTTGGGTCAGAGCTGGCTCCATATGGCAAACACTGACCTTCCCAAACAGCCACGTACATAGAGATGGTCTTGGAGAAACACTTCTTGGATCATGCTCTTGCCATTCTTCGCGTGCACCCCGCCATCCCCGATAACGATCTCACGCACAAACGCGTTGCTGCCGCCAGACAACACGGTGCAGCTTTGAACGTGTGCTGCAAACTCGCCCGGATGGCGAGCGCCGCGCTTCACTCCTTGCCAGAGCTCAGCCTGGGTAAGTCGCTCTTCAGGAGCAACCCCGCGGTTGGCAGACAATCGTGTAGCCCACATTGTACGGAATGTCTTGGGGGAGGTACATTCGCACAGGTACATTCGCACAGGTACATTCCGCACAGGTACATTCCGCGTTTGGGTCTTGGCGGGTATTGCGTCATACAAATTGCTAGTAAATTTGCCTATCATAACCAATTGAATGATTTGAACTTCCTATACAAAAAACCACATTGATATTGATGTTGCTTTTACTTCCCAATTAGGAAACAAGTATAGAGAACGTGGTGTTGCAGAACTAGCTCTATCCCTGGGCCGCTCCGCTTGCTCCGCCCCTGCCTCTGGCCTTGCCTCTGGCCTTGCCCTGCCCTGTACCCCGTTTTGGCGCCTTTTCGGCCTCTAACGCCTTCATTGTAGGCGCTCTCTTACGCCCAGCTCTTGATTACGTCATCGCTGCTGGCGCTGTTGAAGGAGGGGGTATAAAAGCCTTATCTATAGCTTCTTCTTCTTCCTCCTCTTTTCTTCTTCTTCTTCATTCCCAGGAGTTGGGAAGGACCGATCAACTATAGTGGTAGTGGTGGTGGTGACAGGGATAGCGAGGCTGTTAGCGGCAGATCTATGAGGGGGATATTAAGAACGCTCTCCACGTTAATAGGAGCTATAGAAGAAGGAGGAGGAGGAGAAGGCCCTGCGAGGGGTATTGGCCCTAATAATAAAGCTGCAAGAGCTATACTAGCATTCTGGCGTACCTCTCAAGCAGCGGCTTACTCTTTATTATTAGTGTTATGTTCTGCTGCCTTAGCTCTTGTTATAAGCCGCTTATTAACCTTGTTATAAGTTTTAAACTAACGTCCTTATAAGGATCTCTTAACAATATCTAGTATTTAAATATAAAGGTTATTATTACTAAGTTCTTAAGTAAATTTAATAAAACCTTATTAAGCTTAAGTTGCTACGTTTTTGTAATGTTAATATATTTATTTTATAAGATTATCTTACGCCTTTATAACTTCTAGACTAAGCCTTATTATTTAAGTCTTTATAAGAGATAAAAAAGAGTTTTAAATAATTATACTTTAAGGAGGGGATAAAAGTAATTTAGTAATCTAATATAATAGTAACTAGTTAGTTATTCTAATAGGCTCTCCTTATAATTACTAATAAGAGTATAAAAAAGAGTAAGGGATTAGTAAGCTATTTGTTGAGAATGCATGCCGATCAGCAGACTATATGTTACGCGGAAGGCCGTGCAACAGGGTAGGGAGTGCTATAGAAGCAGGAGAGTCACGAAGAAGCTATGGAGGGCAACTGTATGACTGATGTCGAATGGTATGGTGATGAATGGATCTCTAAGTGCTATGGAGGCGAGGATAGAGATATGACGCGCAGGGCGCTAAGCCTGCCCTAGCCCTCAGCCCTAATGCCCCTTTAGGCTATAGGGCAATCCGTGTCGTAACACTATAGTCTGCACTATTTGGCTATACACGTACAGCCAAATATTGCCCGGACAGGTTATTCCTAATCAGGTATAGTGCAGGATTTCATGTGCTGATGGCACAGGATATACCACGTGATCCATGCGCTAGCAGGATCTGCACTTGGTGTGCAGATGCACTGTGATCTCACTCTACATGCAAGTTGTGACCGTTGATAGTGTCGATAGCTGTTCCTAATCCGTATACCCGTTCAACACTATTAAGGCATACTTAATAAAAATAATATTTATAAAAAAGGCTAAATCAAAATAATATCTTGTAACTAATATAGATATCTAATATAGCTTAAAGTAAGCTATCTTAATATCCTAATCTTATAGCTTACTACTTAATAAATAGCCACTAAATAATTTAAAACATTATTATATTTATTAGCTATAAAAATATATATAAATCTAGTATTTTAAGTAACTTACTACTTATATAAGCTTTCTTCTTATTTAGTTCTTGAAATCTTGTCTTAATAGTCTTTTCTAGACATTATAATATTTTCTTTATACTTATATTCTTATTAAGGATCTTTATAGTCACAGAATAAATGTTTTTAAAGCGCTAATTTTAATAACTACTTAAGTTAAAATAAGTATAAGTATAAATATATAAAAAATATATCTCTTAAAGACTTTAGTACTTCTCTAAGTATTTAATTTCGCTTTATTTAAGCTTTAAATATAGCTTTATTTAATATATAATAAGCTCTTCTTAGGTATAACTTTTAACAAAATATTATAGAATATCTCTAAGCTCTTTACAGGCCTCTTTTTTGTAACCCTTATCTGCTAGCTACTTATTACAGCACCTTCTAAGATAAGAAGGTTACCTGAGTTATATAGCCTAAAGCTAGGCACTAGGCTTAGACACTAGGACAAGACTACTCAGATAATTACTTATAGACAGCTAAGACTAAGCATAATTAAGGTTGCTTACTTTTGCTTACTATTAAGTACTACTAAGTATATATAGGTTGCTTATCTTTATTTACTATTAAGCAAGACTAAGTATACAAATCTCTTATTTATATAAGCACGCTCTTTTTGTAAATAATTAAATAGTTCTTTTTACTCTATAATTAATTTATATTATTAGCTTATATTTTTAAGTTAAAGACATCTTAATATTATTTATTATACTTTTTATTTTACCTAATTAATTTACTTAGACCTAACTTGTAATAAAACTTATCTTAATTAGTTAAGGCTTAATACTTAAATTATTACTCTTAAGAAGAACTTAATAGTAGGTAAGAATTCTTTCTAATTGCCTTATATAGCATTAATGTAAAAGTGTAGCGCTATTTCTAGCTCTTGATTGACTTGTTTTGACTAGCTATCTGCTGAGGGATGATACACTGTAGTATAGATTAGCCGAGTGCCAGCTAATTCGAATACCCTCTTCTATAGTGCGGCGGTGAATTAAGCATCTTGATCAGTAGTAATAGTGTTGGGTAGGCTATAGCCCCTTCTGCAGAATACGTTATATCCTAGAGGCATTTAGCCTAATCCTTAGCTGACTGTGCCTTCTTCCCTGTTTTAAAAATAACGCGTTTTAAGAATTGATCTATAACAATAAGTATTATATTATAGCTATCCTTAGGGGGCAAATCAGTAATGAAATCTATTGTTAAAGAATAAAAAGATTGTAAAGGCACTAGAAGTGACTTTAATAGCGCCGTAAAGCCTATATAGCGTGGCTTATTTATTCTGTAGCCTATGTAGTAATATATGTAATCTAGTATCTCCTTGCTTATCTTAGGCCACTATAGACTAGCAAGCACTTTACACAGCCTAGTATAGCCGCTGTATAGCTGATTATTATGTACAGCCTTGAGCATAGCTTTTCTGAAGCTTCAGAGGATAATAAAGTGCGGCTTAGCTTGCTGTGTGTTAATTCGGACTAGGTCAGACTACTCTCTTGATAAAGGAGGGCATAAGGCCTATCAGGCAGTTGCTAAAGGTTAGGAGCTGATAAGGGCATAGCCTGGAGCTGCTTGAATAGCTTGCCAAACTCTTTCTTGACTCGTACGAAGCCAGGTAAGCTCTGCGTTATTTAATCCGAGTAGAATTATGCTAAGATAAGCTTGCTTCTCTCCTCCTTAGGTTAGTGCTAGCTATAAAGCGTAACTAAAAGCCTAGATAGAGCGTCCGAAACTACTATATCTTGATCTTTCTTATAAATAACAATCAAATTATCCTAATACTAACTTAAGAATATAGCCCCTATCCTTATTAATAAGTATTCATCTTAAGAGGAGATTGCGTATATAGTGATCTTGCTGCTAAGATTATTAGATTCGCTTGATAGTCAGTATATATAATAGTCTTTGTTTGCTTAATATATAAATTTGTAGATGCTTAACTACCTATATAAGTCTAGATAGCTCCAGATCTATCAGCTAGTAGTTGTATTTAGTAGGCGTTAAGCACTTTAAGAGAAAGATAATAGGCCTTAGCATTATCTTTAAGGGCTTAAGAGGGTCTTTAGCTTCCGTATCTTTAAGTTAGTATACAGCAACACCAAAACCAAGCTCTTTTAAAGCGTCAAGAAATACGTATAGTACCTTTGCAGGATTGAAATAGCGTAGGATATCTGCGGCTTTAGTAAATGCGCTCTTAAGGTCCTGAAACGTAGTTGTATGCTTGCTCTTCTAAAGCTCTCTGAATTCCTTCGCTCTGCGGCCTTTTCTCTCCTGCAGCTTCTCTAATAGAGATCCCTTCTCTCTTTTAGGGCCTCGAAAGATGATTGTTTTAAGCTGTTACAGCGTCTCAGCATATTACGCGAAATAAGGGACTTGTTAATAATGTTAGCTAATAAAGCTAATAAAGCGTTTAAGGTTATAGCTATTCTTAAGGATATCCTACTTGGCTATAGCTACGAGCTTTTCTTCTACTATTAAGTAACCAAGTCTATTAATAAGTTTTCCAAGCGCTACTAACTCTTAAAAGCTAAGATAAGTCTTTGTAGCTTTAAAAGTGTAGCCAGCATTAACGAAACGTCAAAATACAGCATCTAAGTCGCGTAGATGCTAGCTAAAAGGTCCTCTTGTAAAGATATTAACATCATTAATATAGATATTAATAATCTTCTAAAGTAATCCGGCAAGTAGTCATTTAAAAGTGCGTTAGTTATAAGCAGGAGAGTTCTTAAAGCCTATAAGGGCTATATGAAATAGCTTTAGACCTTGATGTAATGCTGTTGCAGTTCAATATTAGTTATTAGGATGCGTAAAGTGCTAGTAGAAGCTAGATACGAAATCAATAAAAGAGATATAGGTAGCCAGAGCCATGGCGGTAAGAATATCCTTCTGAAAAGGTAAGAGATACATATCTAACTCTGCAACGTTATTCAGAGGTCGTAGATCTACTACAGATCTTGCCTTTTTGACAGCTTCTTCTAAGGTATACTTGTAGACCATGAAAACTGGTAAAGAGTAGGGAGAATGCTTCGCTGGCGCCATCCGACCAAGCTGGATATTTTCGTTAAATGTATCGTTAATCGCCTGCTTCACTTGTAGAGCGTTATGATAAGGAGGTCGAGGCTTGAGATTTCGTTCTAATTTAGGAGCAA